ATTAATCAGTAAGAACATGAAAATATTGAAAACTATAAAAACCAATGATGTTTTACATTATTTCATAATTTAATTATTTTTTAATATATAATTTTTATTTCACGTCATAAAACAACATTGTATTTGAGTTGTAATATTTTACAATTTGCGACAACACCCTTATATACTATTCATAAAAAGTCGCACTTAAAATGAAATATTATCAAATAATTATTTTAGTCAATAATAGATAATAAATAAATACAAGTAGATAATTAAATTTGCTCATTCATCTAACAGAAATCCAATAATTAAATGTATAGCTTAATAAATGTCTTAATTAATGGTCAAATTGTTGAAATGTTTTCTAATAAGACAAAAATGAAGAACTAGTTATAAGCAATTTTTATTTTAATAGTTTTTTTGGGTGACGGTAGGTTTTTGGAATATTTACGTGTACCGACGATTATTTCCCCGTGTAACTATGAATGACCTGAATTCATCACAAGTGAACCTTTATGGTCACAAGTGTTTTGACAAATCTGAATTTAAACCTGATATAGATGAGATTTTCCACTATATCTCCGTGAGACTTAACCATTAAGTAACAAACCAGATAGTTTGTAGTAGTTGCTACACATAACTTCTGAAAGAAACATTCCTAGAAAAAAAATTGTATTTTTTGTAATAACTATAAATAATTAGAAATTATAATTAATTAGATAAACTTTTATTTACCTTAATAGTCAATTAACATTAATTAGAATGGTCTAATGCAGTGTTTTCTATCAATAACTCGGACTCATCTGCATCAGATATATCAACATACAGTTACAATTATCAAGTATCATAAAACAAAACCTTTGTCTCTAAACTTCAAATCGAACTCTTGGGATCAAATACGAGTACACATTTCATTTGTATTAGAATATGTATTAATTTCTCGATTATTTGTTTGTAAACAAAACAAATCCATTGTAACGTCCGACACTCTAAATCAACTTAAAACTATTAAAAAAATTACTGATAATTTATTTTATAATAAAGCCACAAATTTCTCTTTTTATCATTATGGGAGGGTTGTCACAACCCTAACTTCACCGAAATTAACTTGCAAGCTCTGAAATTTCATTTTCTTTTTGTTAATCATGGGTGTTCAGATCAGTTTATACACATTTTGACTAATTTTAAGAACCGTAAAGAAAATCTTCAATAACCTTATAATACTCAAATCGAAATGTTTAACTTGTGAAGATAAAAACACAAACCCTCGATGTCAACTAATGAATAATTGAGGAAGGAAAATACCCATATGCACTCTCATAATTGGGATCATGCAAGGAATATATGAATTTAAAATTGTGAGTATATATATATATATATATATATATATATATATATA